TAAAGAAGCACTTGTGGGGAAGAAACCCCACCATGGTTTGTTTTCTTTTTCCTTTGAAAAGTTTGTGCTATTGGGCTGACAACTTGACCTAACATATCTGTGCTTAAGCGCTTGTGACTTCTTTAGCCTTGCCTTAGCTCGACTGGTCCCCTCTCCAGTCCTCTTCACTCAGACTGGTCCCCCTTCCAGTCTCATGCAGTCTATGCACACCGGTAACATCGTTCCCCTAATCTTTCCCTCTTCTCCATTGAGGGCAATGTCGAACTTAAGTGTGGGGGATGTTTCTCTTTTGACCGCATTAGATCTGTTTTTGTGCTTGGAGCCTAGTCCACTGTCCAAATTTCGATTTGAGGGCTCCGAGTACGTTTTCCTTGCAAATTGCCTGCTCAGTATGCTTTGAATTGACAGTCTCTGTACTAATGTGCAACCTAGTGAGGTAGTGTAGCACTATGGAGGATGTTGAAGTATAAGATTTTTCCTATCTAGCTCTCTGCTGTGCCGGTTGATTTTGTGAATTAGTGGAGCTAAAACCGTTGAATTCATGTGGTAATGGTGACTTTGTTTGAATTGTGTTATGGACTCATGTATCGAACAGGGTGCTCATGTGGGAAATGAAAAGCAGTTGGTCCTCCATGTCGAAATCATTGAAATCTTAAACATGGGGTAAGCCCAACGTGTGTGGCACCGTTCATTCCACAAAATCGGGTTTTGGAAGAGATTTTAGTGATCTTTAGTGGGGTACTGCTACAAGGTGAAGCTAAGCTGTATCTAGTATGATTAAAATTTTCACCCGTTGAATGGTTTGCCTACTCGAGGATGTGTTTTTAAGGGCACGGATAGAGCTTCCGACCCCCCTTAATTTCATTGACCCTCCACACGAGTGGAGGAAAAGGAGTTAAAAGAAGTACTCTGCGCGAGTGCCAGGGATACAAAAATTGCTCTTGCTCGACTAATAAGGGTCGACCGTACAAAAGACTGCAGTTGGAACCCCCGCCAAGAAAAAAAAAAAGAAATATAAAATGAAAGTGAAAAAAGGGGTTCCAACGGTGAAATGAAGTGAAAGATCACCACGATACAATGAGTCCTTGGTTGTGAATGGTGTTAGTCTCTGTATCCATGAATTGACTATCTTACTTCCACTTCTTCTCATGATCCTGGCGAGAGAGATAGGGAACGTCTTAGAAGACCAGTTGACCTTGTAAGCTGCTATATGATCTAGGAAATCCCCTACCGACGATCGGGGTTGTTTGTTGCTATAGAGGTCTGGAGAGTTGCATTGGTTTGAGTTAGGTTTGCTTGGGGACAAGCAAATGGTTAAGTGTGGGGGAATTTGATAGACCATTGATTGCACATGTTTTTACCCCTATTCTTGAGCCGTTGGAGATGTTGACTCTCGTGTTTTAAGACGATTTCACGCTAGGTTGTGTGTTTATGTCATATTTCAGGGCTTGGCGTTGACATTGAGGCGAAGAGACGAGTTTTGGTTCAAAAGGAGGACGTTTGATAAAAAATACCCGGCCGGGTAAAATTCCATGGAGGCCGGGGAAAAACGCTTTTGGACGTTGAGAAACAGAATGGGACCCGTCCAGTGAGCAAAAATACCCGATCGGGTATTCTTGCCGCGACCGGGTATTATCCCATGTGCCTGTGCGTTGCGTTTAGAAATTCCCGGCCGGGCACCCGAAATACCCGACTGGGGATTATGACCAGGGATCGCGGCCTGCTGGTTTTTAAGGGGAAGAAGGCTGATTTTTGAAGGGTTTCGAGTTTTAGAGAAAGAAAGTGATACCTAGAAAGAGAAAGCGACGAACCAGACTTCCCATTGCCGCCCAGAAGCAGAACCCCATTGCTTTTGAGCTAGAGTTTGCTTCTCTCTCCATGGAGTAACTTCCACATTCACCTGGGTATGAAGAACCCTAGATTTGTATGTTAGGTCTGATTGTATTAACCCAAGTATGGTCCATTGATTTGATTATATTCAATTGAGGTCTGATTTGTTGAATGGCATGAATCCATATCAAATTCCTGTTGTTTCTGCTTTGACCTAGAAAGAGAATATCTGCCTAGGTTGATAGAGCACCCTTGATTGAAGGTAGTGAATTGACGACTTTAGTACTTTAGTCGAGGAGTTAATTCACTATTTTGTACCAGATTTACTTCGGTAGTGGAGGCTTGGTTCGTTAGGGCCTCAATCTATTTACTCCGGTGGAGGTTAGTCGCCCGCTGGGGACTCAGATTGAGAGGATCTGGACACCTTTAGTCAAGACTGCACACTGCATAAGAACCTTCCGCAGTATAACTATCTTTGAGTTCGAACTTGGTAAATTACAATCTGGCTTAACTACAGTCTAGGGGGAACCATATCCGGGTGGCCTCTCTCCACTTGAAAACAACCTTTTACTGCTATGCTTGCTTGTTTTTTTGGACCTTCACTACACTTTCACTGCTAAATAATAAGAATTCACGGAGTAGTCATCACACTTAGGACCCGGGTTGACCTTAAAACCCAAACCCGCTATACTACGCTCTAGAAGGTGGTTACACTTGGCCATTTTCTAGAATGACGGTAGAAGCGAGTCAGTGGGCCATGCTTTAATTGCCTCAATCTTTTCCTCATCCACCTCAATTCCCTTCGAGCTCACCGCAAATCCCAGAAACACGTCTATCAGTGCAAAACATGCATTTCTTGAGATTACCATACAATTGCTCTTTTCGATGAGCCTCCAAAACAACTTTAAGGTGATTCACGTGGTCATCTAAGTTCTTGGGTGTTCATCGACTCCTGGGTGTTCAAAGCTAGCTTAATCCCACTTCCACTCGCAAAAAATTTCTCTCTTCTCACTGGAGCTTCAGTCATCGTTCTTTTCTTTTCGACGTTGGAATTTCTATTTTCCTCTCGTGGCTTACTCACTGGGGTAGGGTCACTCGAATTTTCTCTCTTATCTTCTCTCAACTCGTGTTTTTGCTCCCTCTCTTGCTCACGGAGTCGTTGCAGCTACACTTGGTCTTCATATACCTCCTTGGGAGTCATTGGCACCAAGGTATGTGCCCACCCCTTGCAAGATAGAGTGTACTTGTTCATCTTGCCTTCTCTCTAGTATTGGTGGCCATCGGCTTGGGCACTAGCTTAGGATCCTCCTTCTTCACAAATGGGGCTAGTGTTGCACTCGAGGAAGCACTCGCGGATGGTCCAACCCTCCTTGTATAGCCTCCCTTGTGCTTTTTCTCAACCTTAGTAGCCATCTATACCAAATTCTCAATCTCCACATAATGGTGAATCTCCACAATCTGCCTTATCTCCCGATTGAGGCCATTGAGAAATCGAGCCATTGTTGCTTCTCTATCTTCATTGACACGAGCTCGAATCATCAATGTCTCCATCTCCTTCAAATAATCCTTTACGCTCTTCGCACCCTGTCTCAACAAGTGAAGAGCTTGATGCAGATCTCATTGATGATGAACGGGCACAAATCTCCTCCTCATGGTTGCCTTCATTTGATTCCGTGTCGTGATGGGCTCTTCTCCGTGCAACCTCCGTTTAGCACCCAACTGGTCCCACAAAATAATAGCATAGTCAGAAAACTCAAGAGCAGCAATGATTACCTTCTTCCGTTGGGAGTAGTCGTGGAACTCAAACAAGTACTTGATCTTTCTGTCCCAGTCGAGGTAAGATGCAGGGTCACTTCTCCCTTGAAATGATGGCACCTTCACCTTCAGTCCCCTCATATCATCATCCCTATTCTGGTGATACTCTTCCTCCTCGTAGTACTCCTCATAGTCTTGTGGTTCGGGAGCTCTACGAGCGTGAACTGGGGGTCATCCTCCTCGACCTCTAACACCTCGTCCTCGTAGAGGTATGAGATTGTTGGGACCCAGAGGTCGGTCTCGCCTTCCACCCGGTGGTGGTGGTGGTGGTGGAAAATCGTCCTCCTCCTCCGGGTGGAGGTTAATAGCTTGGACCATTTCATCGAGGCGAGCGTTAATCTGATCATGCTGGTCTTGCATCATCCGGGTAAGGAATCCCATAAAAGCATCCATGTTGGCTTGTGGAATGCCTTCCAAGTTCTGGACTTCCTGATTGTTGCGTATTTCTCCTTCTCCTGCCATTTAGTTCAGATACTCAAAACAAGAAGTTATCCGTCAATGCTTAAAGTTTCATATTAATGGTACAAACAAATGACCTCACAAATCACTCCCTCGCGTGTTTGCACTCGAATGAGATCACTCGTTTTCTTACCACTCGTGTTTCACTCAACAGAATTGGCCTTTACCCGATATTGAACTCACGAAGCCTCTTTCCACTCGCTCTTAGAAACCCTAGATGAGCTTCTTAGTCAACAAGTAAAACAAGCAATAAAAAAAGTAGCTCGAGTTGCAAAAAATCTCAAGAAACCAACTAGCACAATCAAGACTCGACCAAGAATGCACAAAACTTGATAAAGACACAAACTTGCGTGATCTGGCCTCTGTTATTGTCTTTTTCGAGCTGTTCTTCCTGATTTTAAGCTCGTTTTTTTTTTTGGGTTTTTTCTAGAACGAATTTTTCCAACGGATGCACGTTACAATTAAGATTGAAATTAAACAATCAAGAAACAAAAACAACCTTTCTTGGCGACATTTAAGAACACAAAACCTGTTTGGCTGATTTTCGCACAAGATAGGGGGATACGTATGCCACTATGTTTGAACAGGAGCTCTGATACCACCTGATATAAGTCGAGGCTCTAACTCCTGGACTTAAACAATCAGAATACGCAGCAAAGTTCGATTAGCAAAACAAAGAGAAAAAGGGTGGAAAAGAACTCAAACCAAAGCCACAATTGGGCAGAGGGCCAAGTATACGAAGTCACTCCACAACTAGGGTGATGTGCTAGTTGATAACGTCGGTTTCTTCTAGACGGCTCGATTCCACGAACAGACTAAGAAGGATAAAAGAGTTTCAAGAATGAACTCTCAAATAAGGGTTTTTTTCATTGATCAAAAGTCGTTTTGCTCATAGGCATAACACCCTCTATTTATAGAGGTTACAAAATTAAGAAGGAAACAAATATCCAAAAGATTCTAACATATTGTTTTTAATGCTAATGAAAGATTCTTAGCCACTAATTATTCCCTTTCCATGTTTGGCCAACTTAGGCATCAAGAATGTCCTTCTTTCTCCTCTTTCCTTTGCCTTTCCATGTGTGGCCAACTTGGGCATCAAGAATGTTCTTTCTCATCTTGGACGTGGATGATATTGACCTCCTGGCCCATGAATGAATTCGACTCCAAAGATGGAAAATGCTCTGCCAAATAAGCTTGAAGTCGACCTTTGAATGCCTTAGCTTGACTTCTAGTGATTGGACCACGTTCCTCTTGCACCAAAGTTGGACTTGTGATCTCCTTGGTGTTGATGTCCTCATCAATAGCCAACACATTACACTTGTTTGTAAAGTTTAAAAGTGTAGGTACTATAAAACAAGATGAATAATATAAAGGTACTAATATAAAAGTTTACTTCTTCACTCACATCTATAGGAAAGCGAATGTTGTCGCTGACCACCTCACTAATCTGGATCACTTGTGAGCTCTAGGAGTTGACCCCATTACTGTACCAGATGCTACTCTTTCTTTTTGGACTAGATTAGGGCTTGCCCGTTGACCTAGAGAATTATACAAATGGCATGAATGATAATAATAATTGCGCAAACCAAGATACATTTTTATTTGGTACTATGAATAAATCCAAATTATTCAATTACTGATAATAAAAATAGGAGCATATATTATAAATTTCTTATATCTTTTGATTATTCATGGACAAAAGTGTTAAACAAATATATTTAAAAAATCATGCAAGGGAACCAATTTTTTAAAAAATTAATAAGACCTCACTTCAAATTTACTACCCGCTGTAAGAAATTACTATAAATTTTATTTTGTCGGAAATTACAACAAAATTTATTTTTGATAATTTTTGTGATTGTTTCGCTATCAATAGATCAAAATAATAATTAAGTAGGTATAGCATAAGAAAATAATATGTTAGTGTCCAATGAAATTTTGAAGAAGTTTAAAGTTGATTTGTTCGCTTTCCTATAGACGTGAGTGAAGAAGTAAACTTTTATATTAGTATCTTTATATTATTTAGACAAAATATAATTGTATAGCCAAAACTTTTACGTTTGTGACAATAATAGCCAAATTTGGAGAAATACCACTTAGCTAGATTTTGTAAAAGGTGTTGGACAAATATAGTCACTTCCGTCAAATACTTTAACAGCGTTATTAGCACCGTCAACTTTTTTTATAGTTTGCTGACTAGGCGCCAACTAAGCGCACACCTCAGCAGTAAATTAGTCAAACTCAAAAGTGACATGTCAGATATTAAAAATTAAATTACAAAATAATTAAAAAAATAAATTCCCTCCACTCTCACATACCCCACTGCTTTGCACGACGGAACCAACCTCCCTTTTTTCCGATTTCGTATTTAGGGTTCGGCCCCTGGCGGCGATTGAAGCTCCGGTGACTGAAGCTCCTGGAGGCAAGAGAAGCTTTGAGAAATTTATCTTCTCCAAATCGTCGTTTCCATAATCCGAAACCAAGAACCAAGAGCAATTCATCTTCTCCAAATCGCCGTTTCCATAATCGAGTGGGTTCTGCATATCTTAAGAGAGGGAGAGAGCAAAGTCGAGCAAGAATAGAAAGATGGCGGGACAAAACCAGCTCTTCTCCTGCTCTCGTCTCCTGCCAACATCGCCAAGCTGCAGTGAGATTCCCCATCTGTTCCTGTAAGCTTAGCATCGGCGTAGAAGTTTAGATCCGTCTGCAGGTCCGGGAATTCCATCATGGGCGAGAGAGTTTTGGGTTGCTTGGAAATCCCGTAAGCGCGTTTGAGCAATAGTGGTTTGCGGTAGGGATTGGGATTTGGGGGCACGCCGGCACGGGTTGAGGGAGATGATAACGAAATGGAGAAGGGGACGCACAGCCACATATTGCTCCTAAAAAATCCATTAGTTAATTTTTAATTTATTTTCCATCCACGTAGAAAGGGTTTTCGTTGTAGTCATTCTGAGATTATAGTTTGTATTTTTTATAATTTTTTTATTTACTTTACTTAAAATTTAAAGAATAAAACTTTAATGCTTTTCCACCTGGCATTATTATCGAATAAATATGCCACGCCAACCGTTGTTGTTAATCCAGTCAGACTGTTAGATGACACCGTTAAAGTATTGGATGAAAGTGGTTATATATGGTATTTCTCCAAAAGTGGCTATTATTGTTTCAAACGCGAAAATTATGGCTATGAAAGTGTATTTTGCCTATTATTTATCTTGTATTATAGTACCTAGACTTTTAAACTTGATACGCCCCTGGGGGTGTATATTATCAAAGTCACGCAGCTAACGACTCAATCGAAGAATTGATTGAGCTCGAATCAAGAACGAAGCGTTCTTAATACGAACTTGGATAAAACTGAAGCAAAAGGACGATTCCACACCTGGGGAACGCTCAATTGGATTAAGAGATAGATGCCCGACCACGATTGAAGTGACTATTCAACCGATACAAGAGCTCACGAGCTTGGAATCCTCCAAAATCAACACAAGTCGCAACTTGCACAAAAACCAAAAAGTTCTCAATTCGATTAATCAAAGTCTTCTATTTTACAACGTAAATAGAACGGTATTTAAAGCAAATAAAACCTAATACAATCCTAATAGAACTAGGCAACAATTAAGGTAAAAGTCTACACAAAAAGGACACAAAATTCGGGTTTAAACTCTCTTTCTTCAAGCGCAAGTAAGCTGCCAGCAAACAGTCCAAAAGCAGCTTTCGTACTAACTTCGCGTCTTTCGTTCGAGGCCTTCCAGAACTCCGATCTTTCATCCAATTCCTTCCCTTTGTTCACAAACATACCTAGTTTCATGCTGTGGAAGCTCTTTCACTTGAATCCCCTCCATGTTCCTTGAATTGAGCTCCAAAGTAGGCTTCACAAAACAGTTTTCTGCCTTAGCCATTTTCTGGCAGTTTTCCAGTTTAGAGGTAGCAACTTTGAGGCCTTGGAAAACAACCTTCGTGACATCATCTGGATCCGAAGAGCATATCATTGGAAAGATGGAAACTTTATCTACAAAAAAAATCCTTAACCTTGAATTTCCACCAATCCAATTGAGAGAACCATGCCTCCAAAGTGTGTACCCTGAACACGGATTTTGACTTAGCCAAATTCTGCCTTTCTTCTTCCGACTTTGATAGCTTCTTTGTCAAGTAATTGTGACGTGAATGGTGGGCAATTTGGGATCATATCAGGCCCTCCCTCTTGAAAAAGTGTTGCCCTCAAAACTTTAGCCTTTCGTTGCTCAAACCGTTCACAGAATTGATCCCAAATTGGATCGAAAGTGGGTTGCTCGACCATCTTTTTCGGCAGAAAATTTACAGATCCAAATTGACCTTCGATCTCTTCCAACACTGTTAGAAACCGGCGGGTTGGGCCGGTTGGGTGAGGGGTGGCAATTTTGTTATTTTCCATTATTTCTGTTTAGTATTTAAGAGGAGGAAACATTGTTCTGCAGATTAGTCAATAATCAATATTTGAACCTAAATCCCTAAATTCCCAATTCTCTCTATCTCTTGTTTTTCCCCAATATCTCTCAAATCCCTAATTTCTTCTCTTCCCAATCCCTAATTCTCTTGTGGAAGTTCTTTGTTTCTAACATCTGGTATCAGAGCCCGGTTCCGATCGGTGAGTTCTTCCCAACTCCATCAGGGACAGCTTCGAACCCAGAGAATTACCAAGGACAGCAATGGATAAATCGGAGCAGACATGGGCTCAGAAGCAAGAAAGGATGTGGCAGATTGCGAGCTATTGGAAAGAGAGAGCTCCGCGGGGCGCCGCGACAGAGAAGGCGGAGTCGGCGGCGCTCGGTGAGGCTGGCCGAAGCGGGGAGGAGGCCGCGCTGCAGGCGGTGGCGCGCGCAACAGCGGGCGGCGGTGCGGGGCATGGGCCGCTCGTCGGGGCGGTCGGAGAAGGGCAGGGGACCGCGCGGCGCGCGGAGGGTTGCGAGTGCGAGGGCGGCAGCGCCGGACGCGAGCGCGGAAGGAGGGGAGTCGATGACGATTTCCTTGCACTCCGTAGCCGGGATTTCGTCGCCTGGAACCCTGAGGTTTCGAGCGAAGGTGGCCGGGCAGCAGGGTCTCGTCCTTGTTGACAGTGGGGCATCGCTGAATTTTATTGGGGAGGACTTTGCTAAAACCTTACATGTGGCAGCGAGTCCGTCGCAACCGATGGTGGTCAGAGTGGCTAATGGCGCGCCGATGTGGTGCGTTGAGGTGTACAGAGACCTGACTATGGAAATCCAAGGCCTCGAGGTCACCACTGACCTGTATGTACTGCCCCTACGCGGGTTCGATATCATTCTCGGTATACCTTGGCTGCAGAGTTTGGGGACGATAACCAGTGATTGGAGGAGTCTGACGATGTGTTTTAAGTGGAGGGACAAGGAATGGAGATTGAGAGGCTTGACCACGGCCATTGGGCCTGTTCAGATGGAAGAGTGCGAGCAGGGAGAGGACATAGAGCTTGCTGTCCTATGATGGCCACTATCCGCGGCAGGGAAATCGGTAATTGATGGGGAGATACAGGAGCTGTTGGATCGGTATCCCGAACTATTCCAGGATCCAACCACGCTCCCACCTCACCGACACGTAGATCACCAAATTTTCTTAAAAGAAGGAGTGGAAGCTGTGAATTTGAGGCCATATCGTTATGGGCACTCACAGAAGGGGGAGATCGAGAAGCAGATCGAGGAGATGCTAGCCACCGGACTGATTCGGCCGAGTACCAGCCCTTTCTCATCTCCGGTGCTGCTGGTTAAGAAGAAGGATGGGACGTGGAGGTTCTACACCGACTACCGAGCTCTAAATAAACCTACGGTGAAGGATCGGTTTCAGATCCCGACAGTGGATGATATGCTTGATGAACTACATGGGTCGAGCTATTTCACTAAGCTTGACTTGAGAGCCGGATACCATCAGATCAGGATGCAGGAGGAGGATGTGCCCAAAACAACATTTCGCACCCACAATGGCCATTATGAGTACCTGGTGATGCCATTCGGGCTGTGCAATGCTCCCTCTACCTTCCAAGCAGCCATGAATGGCATTTTCCGGCCACTTTTGAGACGGTATGTCTTGGTTTTTTTTTATGATATACTGGTATATAGCCCTACTTGGGAGGACCATTTGAGACATTTGTAGAAGATGTTTGAGATCCTTCGAGAATGCCAGTACTATGTCAAGGCCTCCAAGTGTGCGTTTGGGGTGCAGAAGGTGGATTATCTGGGGCATGTGGTGACGCCTCAGGAATTACGGGTGGACCAGACCAAGATTCATGCAATGGTGGACTGGCCGGTACCCACCAACGTGACCGAGTTGCGCGGCTTCCATGGATTGACGGGGTACTAGCGAAAGTTTGTTCAGGGGTACAGTATGATAGCGAGACCCTTGACGGACCTGCTGAAGAAAGGGGGTTTTGCGTGGTCACCGAAGGCGGAGGAGGCATTCCAGAAGCTGAAGCAGGCGATGTCAACGACCCCCACTCTGGCCATGCCGGATTTCTCGAAGACATTCGTGATTGAGGCGGATGCTTCGGGTCGCGAAATTGGGGCAGTGTTGTCTCAGGATCGACACCCCATTGCTTTCATGAGCAAAACTCTGCCGCCCTCAAAAGAGGCCTGGTCGACATACCAGAAGGAGGTGCAGGCCATCATCACAGCAGTCCAGACTTGGAGGCCATACCTGCTAGGCCATAAATTTCCCATCTATACAGATCATCAGAGCCTGAAGCATCTCCTTGAACAGCGGGTGTCGACACCGGATCAGCACAAGTGGATTTTGAAATTACATGGGTATGACTATGAGATCCACTACAGACCGGGACCCACCAATGTGGTGGCGGACGACATGTCCAGGCGGCTGGGAGGAGAGGTTCTGATGGCAGTGACCGGACCCATTCCGGAGTTTTAGGATGAGCTTCGTACCTCTTTGGAGACCAGCCCATATCTGCAGAATTGCCGGGATATTGCAGTGAGTGACGATCCAGGACGCTACCAGTTCAGACATGGGCTAGTACTTTTCAAGGGCCGGGTGGTCCTTCCGCCAGGGTCAAACCTGGTCACTACAATGCTCATGGAGTTTCACGACTCACCGCTGGGGGGTCATTTGGGGGTAGAGCAGACTCTACGCTGGATCAGGGGCCATTTCTACTGGCCTCGCATGGCAGATGATGTGAAACACTACGTGGCCTCTTGCGACACCTGTTAGAGGGTGAAGCTATCTCATATGCGACCAGCGGGGTTGTTGTAGCCTCGACCGGTACCGAAGCAGGTATGGGAGGACATCAGTATGGATTTTATAGTGGGGCTTCCTCCCTCAGGCGGCAAGACGGTGTTGTTTGTGGTGGTAGACCGTCTGACGAAGTATGCTCACTTCATGCCTTTGGCCCATCTGTACACGGCAAAGACCGTGGTTGAACAGTTCGTGACAGGGGTGGTCCGGCATCACGGGTTTCCTCGATCTATTGTGAGTGATGGGGATCCAGTCTTCTTGAGCAACTTCTGGCAGGAAGTCTTTGCTATGGGCAGGAAGTCTTTGCTATGGCCAAGACGGCGCTACGTATGAGCCTCGCATATCATCCGCAGACTGATGGTCAGACGGAGATCGTGAACAAACATCTGGAGCAGTAACTCTGGTGTTTTGCCCATCAGCAACCTAAGAGCTGGTTGGCCATGATTTCGTGGCCTGAGTTATGGTATAACACCACATACCATCGGGCTATCCAGATGTCACCGTTCGAGGCCTTGTACGGGCGTGCTCCACCGTCCCTGGTACGGTACAGGCTTAGCGCCAGCTCGGTGGACGCGGTGGATAGATGGTTGGGGGAGAGAGATGAGGCGCTGGAACAGGTGCGTAGTACGTTGGCGGCCGCCAAAAACCGGATGAAGCAGATGGAGGATGCGGGTCGGAGGGAAGAAGAGTTTGAGGTGGGGGACTGGGT